GATGATAGATAGATAGATGATAGATAGATAGATAGATAGATAGATAGATAGATAGATGATAGATAGACAGACATATGGATAACAAGAACTTCCCAACAAACAAAAACCCAGGCCAGATGGCTTCCCTGGTAAATTCTACCAAACATTTAAAGAATTAATACCAAATCTTTTCAAATTCTTCCAAAATAGAAGAAGGGAAAAAACTTACAAACTCACTTTATGAGCCCACCATTACCCTGTAAAACTAGAGAAGGTCACTACAGGAAAGAAAATTACAGACCACTATTGCTGATAAGCGTAGATGTGAAAATAGCCAACAAAATATTAGCAAACCGATTTACCACATTAAAAGGATCATATGCATGATCAAGTAGGATTTATTTTATGGATGCAAGGATGGTTCAGTCCAATGTACACTAATCAATCAATATGGTAAATCACATAAATATAATAAAGGGTAAAAATTATATGATATCCCTATATGCATAGAAAGCACTTAGCAAAATTCAACATTCTTTCATAACATAATAAAAACCTTCAACAAACTGAGTTAGAGGGAAAGCACTTCAACATAATAGGCAAGTTATTAGAGACCCATAGCTAATGTCATACTCATAGGTGATATATACAGAAAACTATAAAGATGTTACCAAAAAAAGCTATACCTTACAAATGAATTAAGTAGAGTTGCATGATACAGCATTAATATACAAAAGGACAGTTGCATTTTTATACACTAACAATAAACTATCAGAGAAATTAAGAAAATAATCTCACTTATAATTGAATAAAAAAATTTTAAGAATAAATTTAACCAAAGACAGGAAAGAAAACTGAAAACTACTATACTATACTGAAAACTATAAGACACTGATCAAAGAAATTGAAGAAGACACAAATAAATGGAAACATATTCCATACTCATTGACTGGAAGAATTAATATTGTTAAAGTATCTCTAATACCCAAAGCTATCTACAGAATCAGAGAAATCCTTATCAAAACCCCAATGGCATTTTTCACAAACTGGAACAATCCTAAAATATTTATGGAGCCACAGAAGACTCTGAGTAGCCAAAACAATCTTAAGAAATATGAATAAACCTGGAGGTATCATTTTGCCTGATTTCAAAGTATATCACAAACCTATAGTAATCAAAACCATATAGTATTAGCATAAAAACAGACACATAGATCAGTGAAAGAGAATACAGAGTACAGAAATAAGCCCATGAAATCAAGATCAACTAATTTGTAACAACAAAGGCAATAATATACATGGGCAAAGGATAGTCTCTTTAATAATGTTGGGAAAACTGGACAGCCACGTGCAAAACAATGAAACAGGACCCTTATCTCAACCACACACAAAAATCAACTCAAAATGGGTTAAAGACTTGAACATATGACTTGAAACCATAAAAGTAGAAGAAAACAGAGGTAGTAAACTCCTTAACATTGGCCTTGGCGGTGATTTTGAATTTGACATCAAAAGCAAAAGAAACAAAAGCAAAAACAAACAACTGGATATACTTCAAACTAAAAAGCTTCTGCTCAGAAAAGGCAATCTATGGAATGGGAAAAAATATTGAAAACCATATATCTGATAAAGGATTAATATTCAAAATATACAAGACATGCATGCAACTTAATAGGAAGAAAGAAAGAAAGAGAAAGAAAGAAAGAAAGAAAGAAAGAAAGAAAGAAAGAAAGAAAGAAAGAAAGAAAAGAAAGAAAGAAGAAAGAAAGAAAAGAAAAAAGAAAGAAGAAGAAAGAAAGAAAGAAAGAAAGAAAGAAGAAAGAAAGAAAGAAAGAAAGACTAATAACCCAAGTAAAAAAAAATGAGTAAATGCTCTGAATAGACATTTTTCCCAAAAATGGGAATAACATACAAATGGCCAAGAGATACATGAAAAGGTACTAAATATCACTAATCTTTAGAGACATATAAATCAAAACCACAATGAGCTAACACCTCACACATGTCAAAATAGCTAATTGCAAAAAGGCAAGAGATAACAATTCCTGGTAATGATATGAAGAAAAGGGAACCCTCATGCCCTATTGGTGGGAACATAAACTGGTGCATCCACTGTGGAAAACTCTGTGGAGTTTCCTAAAGAAATTAAAAATAGGATGACTCAACAATTTTACTTTTATGTATATATCCAAAGGAAATAAAACTTATATGAATGAGGTATCTGCATTCCCATGATATTTGAAGCATTGTTCACAATAACCATGGTATGGAAACAACATAAATGTCCATGGGTGGATGAATGGATAAAGAAATGTGTCATATATATCTAATCAAATATTATTCAGCCACAAAAAGAAGGAAATTCTGCCATTTGAGGCAACATGGATGGACCTTAAAGGCATATGGTAACTGAAATAAGTCAGAAAAATACAAATATTGCATGGTATCACTTATACATATAATCTAAAAGAGAGAGAGAAAGAAAAAGAAAGAAAAAAGAAAGAAAGAAAGAAAGAAAGAAAGAAAGAAAGAAAGAAAGAAAGAAAGAAAGAAAGAAGAAAGAAAGAAAAAAAGAAAGAAAGAAAAAAGAAAGAAAGAAAAGAAAAGAAAGAAAGAAAAGAAAAGAAAGAAAAAGAAAATACCAAACTCATAGAGAGCAGGAAAGTAAGTGGGGGATATGGAAAATAGGGAAAGGTTGGTAAAAGGGTACAAAGTTTCAGTTATGAGTAAGTTTTGAAGATCTAACGTGTAGCGTGATGACTATAGTTGATAACATTATATTGTATAATTAAAATTTGCTGAGAGTAGAACTTAAACGTTCTCACCAAAAAAAAAAAAAAGAAGAAGAAGAAGAAGAAGAAGGGGGGGGTATAAATATGTCAAGTGATTGATGTTTACTTTATTGAAGTAATTATTAAATCACCATGTTAGTTTTAGTTTTGTCAATTATCCCTCACTAAAGCCAAAAAAAAAGAAGCATTCTTTTATATTTCTTAGGTAAATCCAACTGCACAAGTGATTATAGGAAACTCAACATTTCACCAATCTTCACAAAATAAGTTTGTGTGTTGTTTTTGAAACAAAGTAGAAATAGGACAAGTTTTTATTATTGTGTTTATATGTGTCCTGTGTAATACTTTTTCAGTTGAGGAATATTGGTAGAATCCAAGAACCCAGCTTGTGGTTTATACATTACTCTAACTACAAGAGAGCAGGGATATTTGAGAAAGAGAGTTTTTTTCCTGGCAAAGCTTCTTATTTGTATACGAGGAAGTTACGCATGCTTCAAATATTTAGAATTTAATATTTAATTAAAAGTTACTATCCGAGCAATTCTAGGGACAGAAAATCAAACACATGCAGAAACCCTCCAATAATTATATGTGTATGATCTTAAGTACAAGGTCTTGGTGCTATTCTTATAATTTTTCCTGAACATTCCTTGTGTTTGACCAATGAAAGAAGCAGAAAGAACTCTGGGCACAGAATGGGCTGACTCAGGTCTATCCTGGCCTTACCCCAGGTGTGCATTGGGAGGAAGCATTTGAACTTTTTGGGACTGTTGTCTTTTGGTCAAATAGTTGGGTAGGTGAGCCAAAGTAACATTCTTCTACCTGTAGAACTCTTTCCATGGACAACTGAAGGGTTGGATATCAGAACACTTTTTGTCCTGGCTTTATTCCTCCACTTCCAGTTTGCCCTTGTTAAGGATAAACAATCTTTCCCACGGGAAATACAAGGTTAACAATGATGCAAAAGATAAAAAGTTAAACCTTAGTGGCCTAGAGACCTAAATCCTTATGTCCCCTGAAATTCTGCAATATCCACAAGCCTAGATGATGGCCCCAGAATATCTAAGTAGCTTGCTACCTCTACAGACACATACAATACACCCCTGTCCTGTATGAGTCATACACACTGCGGCAGGCCAGGGGCATGTCTGCATCTTTTGGGAGAATGAGAAGGAAGTCTGAAGGCACAGCCATGAGCACCCCAGCCCTCAGGGCAGAATGGGACGTGTTTACTGCATGGAAAAGCAGGGAAACTAGTTGGTCTTACAGCAAGCTCCACATTCCACACCATATTCAACCAAAATACAGTATGGTAAAACTGATGTAGATAATGACAACCTGGGATGGAAGGAAATGATGAATTATGTCCTGGAAACTTTGCTTAAGAAGGCAGGAAATTAGATAGTATATTTCAAAAAGATTGTCACCAAAAAAGTATTCAAATTTAAATTTTGTTATATAAAGGATCAAAGTCTCCACATACAAAGACATCACTTTCCCAGAAGAGTTTATTTATTATGATTCTGGATAATTGGCATTTTGGGGACCATCTCTCCATTTTTTTATACAATGAGAAATAACTCTGAATAAATTCTAACTATGATTTTTCCATGTACCTCAAAATTTGCTTGTCATTCCTCAGATTTTTCAAAGTGGATGTAGGTGCTATTCCTAAAAAAAATGCTAGTCAACATTTATTGAATATCTACCTTGTGCCTGGACTGTGCTAAACTTTTTATAAGTTTTATAAATTATCTCAGCCCTTGGAACTATACCGTGGTGGAGGTTAGAGGTATTGATATTGCTTCCAGGTGATTCATGAAGAAACTGAGGCTTGTACAGGTTCATTAAGTGATCCAAAACCAAGCAAAGACCATGTCAGGATCCAAAGCCATGTGCATCTGGCTCCAGAGCCAAATATTCAACTGCTAGGAGGAGGTGTGGAAGACAGGAAAGCAAAGCACAGGGCTTACATAACTGATAAAAGAATTGGCTGTGATGAGAAAGGCAAGTTGGCTACATTACTAAATCCCAAGCCATTTTTCCTGGAATGGTATTTAGACATCCATTTAAGGCAGTGTTAACTGTGGTCATCGTAACCTGAGTCTGATTCTAGCAACAGCTTTGAGTCCTTTCAGTAAAGAAAAGCATTTTGCAGAAGAGGAGACTTCTCTTATTGGGTCCTAAAATCAGAAAATAGACAGCAAGAATAAGCACTCCTTCTTAGCCATAATCTGGTTTATTTCACTTCAGATCTCCTGATAAGTCGGGTAGAAAGCCAACGAATGCCCCCGACAAACTAATAGTTTCACCAGGCAGAACCCAGGCCCTAAGTTTCCATGGAAGAAGACTCTGGCAACTCTCTTGGCAGACAGAAGTCACCACATCAATGAGGAATGCTCAAACTCAGCTTGTAGCCCAGAGACATCAGGTTGGAGAAGTCTCAGTCAGTATCCACGCTGGGTGTCTCTCAGAGGTCTTGGTGTCAGGCTTTGGCAAGCTTGGGCATCCACCACTGTGGAAGAGTCCATGACCATTCCCGGGCACGGAGAAAACACAGGAGGAGAGAAAACACAGAAGTCATGGGTGTTTCCAGGAGCATAAACCACTTTCAACAAACCTCTACAAATGACACTCCATAGCAGTCTAGAACTCCCCTACGAATGTGCAGTTCTCAGCCTGAGAAGCTGTTCCTGTAGGAATTTAAGTGTGCTCTCAGCTACTTCTAGGTTTTGTTTGTTTCTGTAAAGGAGGGATAAAAAGGGAAAGAAGGGCGCCTGGGTGGCTCAGTCAGTTAAATGTCTAACTCTTGATTTTTTTTTTTATTTTTTAAAGCTTTTTTTAAAGATTTTTATTTATTTATTCATGGGACACACACACACAGAGAGAGAGAGAGAGAGAGAGAGAGAGGCAGAGACACAGACAGAGGGAGAAGCAGGCTCCATGCAGGGAGCCGGACGTGGGACTCAATCCCCAGCCTACAGGATCAGGCCCTGGGCCAAAGGCAGCGCTAAACCACGGAGCCAGCCGGGCTGCCCCCTAACTCTTGATTTTGGCTCAGGTCATAATTTCAGGGTCACAAGATCAAGCTTGGCATCAGGGTCTGTGCTAGGTGTAGAACCTGCTTAAATTCTCTCTTTCTCTCTCTCCCTTTCATGCTCCCCCTAAATCCCCCTTCCCACTCTCTATCTCTCTCACACACAAATAAAAAAGAAGACAGGAAAGGAGTTAAAGCAGAAGCATTGCATGGCCTCTATTCTTTAGTTCCTCATCCCATGAAACTCATTATTTCACTGCTAAACTAATGATGATCCAGCCAGGAAAAAGTCCCGGGGATGCATCAGAGGGAGCCCACAGCACCCTCGGGAGGCCACCCAGACCCAGCTCCTCCATCTGTCTCTAAGGCATGTGCAGAGACAGCCTGGCCACTAACATTTATGGGATTTGCTCAGACTGAATGGCCTGAGCAACACCACTGGAGTTAAATGGAGGTAAAGGCAGAAGCGAATTGGATATCTTTTGCAGTTTCAGCACCCTCAGGCAACACCGGAGCCAAGGATGCCCAAGCACCGTCTAGGAGCCAAAGGCCTTGCCTGGAACTCTATGCCAGAGCCACTAGCATTGAATTGTTCACAAAGAAGAAGGGATGGCTTTTCATCACTACTGGCTTAAGGTAGGTGAGATCTGAGTGGTGACAAGAGCGCCCAGTGCCCAGACTTCTTGTGCAGTACTGTTCCTGCTGACCCCATACTGCATTCAGTGTGGGGTTTCCTTCTGCAGCATATCAGTAGTACTTTGATGTCTGGGGTTGCATGAGTGTTTGGACAATAGTCAATCATTTTCCCCTTGACTGGTATCTTTCTGATGTTGGGTAACCCACATTGATATAGCCTCAGAATCTTCTCCACCCTAAGTGGAGCCAAGTCCAGAAAAGTATCCTTCTTAGAAGAAATGTCTGAGTGTTTAGCACTAGTGTCCTAGCACGTAGGATGTCATCCCTTCTCGCTAAATATTTATTAATATTTATCCTTATAATCAAATAGTAATCTTCCCTACTGACAGAATAATTTTGAGCTGACCTAACAAATTCTCAGTAACTGTGCTAGTTAAAGAGAGAATGAGCCTGTTTTTCACCAATCCAGAAAGAAAAACATTGGAATATTGGATAGACTAATATTTTGATTCAGTATTTTTTAAGAAGTTCTAATGTTGATAATATTTTAGGTGTCTGAAAAGAGAAACTAGTGTACTGGTAGAGAAATACTTCTCTTCTCCACAAATGATCAACAAAAAACTGGCTTACTTTGCTATGGAGAAAATCAATCCGTTAATTCCGTTGGTCTCCCTCACCTTCCATTTAGTGAAGAATATAGAGTCTGTAACACCCCAGCCAGGATAGGGATCAGATAAACACAGAGAGAGAGTTATGGATCCAGCCTCAAGGTGCTCAAGCTAGAGGGAGAGCTGGCAAAATAACTCTTAGATTTCCTTCCATTTAAAATTCCATGGTTTGGCAATTAATGATGCTGATAAGAAACATGGCTGTCTCAATACCTGACATTCCTCCAGCAGTAACATCAGGTTGCTGTGCCTCATTTCTTTCTGTCCCTCCTTTAGCCTGAATCTGTTGTGAGTTTTCTAGTAAAAGATAACTGAGGTCCCCAAGGGAATATCTAGCTATAACCAGGATTGCCTGCCCCCTTAAATCTCTGTAAGACTGATTGGTGTCTAACCCTGTGTTTTGTGCATGGCTGATCACCTCAGTAGGATTTTAGAGAATCCCTCCCCAGACACTGGCTACTTATATTCTCCTGCCCTCTGGCTCCAGTAGTTGTGAACTATTTGGTTACCACCTTACTGTGGGGCTCTGTCTTTTTCTTAATTAGTGCCTGTCAGACAAAAACCAAAGACCTGGATATCCAGATGAGCAGAGGAAGTCCTATTGCATGAGGGTCAACACTGTGAAGCTCTGCTTTGGAAAGTCCTTTTTTTAAAAAGCCTATTTATCTGGAGACAGAGAGCCAGAGAGAGAGCAGGGGGTGGGTGGACAAAGGAAAAAGCAGACTCCCCGCTGAGCAAGGAGTCAGACTCAGGGCTCCAGGATCATCATCAGAGCCAAAGGCAGACACTTAACCTACTGAGCCACTTCGGCACGCTTGCCTTGGAGAGTACTGTCCACCAAGTACACCCTGGTTACCGCCCCATGCATTCATCAACCCTTCTCCGTTTGCCCTCTGGCAAATCTTTCTCATGCCCAGGAGTGAAAAGCGGTTTGGTTATCTCATGCCACCTTTGCTCAACAACTATTCTTTCATCAAATATTTAGTGAGTACTTACTCTGGGAGGGCCCTGCTTCGTGTTCTGAGGTTCCAGCTGGAACCGTGTGCTCACCCCTCGTGGCGCTTTGTCTTCCAGTAGTGGGGGACGAGCAGCAAACAAGCAGACAGTACATCAGATGGCCATAGAGGCAGAACAGGGAAGTGAAACAGGAGGCTCCTATGGGTTGCCAGGACTGAGGGTGCTATTTTGTTTCAGGTGATCCTGGAAGGCTGTGCTGATAAGAGATCTGAGCAGAGACCAATAGAATTAACGAATTAATTTTCTCCATAGCAAAGGAAGCCGGCTTTTTGTCCTTTATGGAAGGAATAGCATGTGTAAAACACTGGGACAGGAATAGGGGCGAGAGGAGACGACAGTGTGGTTGGGCAGAAGCAAGGAAGAATGTGATAGGAGATGAGGTCAAAAAGGCCAGGTCATGCAAATCGTACAGGTCGGGCGAAGACTTCAGCTGTGCTCAGTGTTGACAGCTGGCCACTCCAAGTGACTTAATCTAATTTCTGCTTTAAGAGCCTACTCTGGATACGTGCAGAAAAGAGCCCAAGGGAGTTATGGAGGAGGTGGAGACCAGGCCGGCAGCCTCCCGGGGCCCAGTGAGAGACAAGGATGGCTTAGTGAGAAGGCACTGGTTTCTGGATGTATCTTGAATATGTGACCAACTGGATGTGTGGCGTGAGAGGAAGAGATGAGTCAAACATGACTTCAGCATCGGGCAGCCACAGCCTCACCCTCCTCCCCCAGGAGGCTTATCAAGGTAGCGGTACAAACAAGGACAGTTGTCTCTGTAGGAGGAGTTTGGAGAGGAACAGCTCCTGTAACCAGTGTCCCACCCACTGTATATCCATGGGCTCCTTTCTCCTCTCCCTGAGGAGGCAGAGGGGGTTGGACCGTCCTCTGGCAGGAAGACAGGCAAAGGGAACTTTTCCTAGAATTGTGAGTAACAGAACGCTGCTAAAAATGAGGCTTGACTTTATAGGGCACATACTGGAAATGAAGGCTATTAATAGGCTCCTGCAGGATGGCTGCCACACTGAAAAAGGCCACGCAAGGCAGCGTTCACAGGAGGTGAGAAAGCCCCAGGGCTCCTAAGCAAGGCAGGGAAAGAAAACCATTTCATAGAGGTGCCTTAAACGCAAAAAAGATTAGCAATCATTTCCCGTCACCCCTGCGGATGGCCAAACAAAGCTGAGAGCTAGTATGTGACTTTTTTTTAGATGTGTGTGTTTTTTTTTTTAAGATTTTATTTATTTATCCAGGAGAGACACAGAAAGAGAGAGAGGCAGAGACACAGGCAGAGGGAGAAGCAGGCTCCGTGCAGGGTCCCCGATGTGGGACTCGATTCCGGGACTCCAGGATCACGCCCTGGACTGAAGGCAGGTGCTAAACAGCTGAGCCACCCAGGGATTCCCCTAGTGTGTGACTATTTGACCTAAACAGAGAACTGAAAGCTAAACAAGCAGCCAAGAAAAAAGAATCCACTGTGGTTTATCAGAGATGGTGAAAAGTGATTAATTTTTAAAGGACCAACTGGACACATAGCCTTGAATCTTAAATCTAATACAATTGTTCCTTTAAATTAGTAACTGGTAAGCAGTCAACCTCACCCTAATAAGGAGGTTATGACCCAGACTCACCAGGCTCAAATCCTGGACAAGGAGCAAAGATGCTGAGTTGGATGCTATCTGGTCCAATTCTGTCTTTACACAAAAAAAAATAACATAATGGGTGCTTTGGCTCCCTTCAACAACATTTGCTGACACCTGGTATGTGCAAGGCACTGGATGAGCCATTCTCACACGGGGCTGCATCTGTGAACCCAATGTGCTATTGGGAAATGAGAAAATCATGCAGCAGGAATGAGAGTGGTTGAAAAGCAGCCCATCTGTCAAGTAGCAAAATGAAAACAAAACAAAACAAAAACAAAAACAAAAACAAAAGTGAATGAATTCTCATTGTGTGCCATTTTTCCTAGCCAGGGCCCTAGAGAACTATAGATAATGAAACCACCACGGTATAGTAAAAGAGAGCACAACTTTGTAGTCTTACAGATCTTATTTTGAATTCAAATATACGTGCTCCTGACTGACCTTTGAGAAACTGACCTAATGCTTTTTTGAGCCTCCGTTTCCTCATCAGTGATATGGGCATAAATTACTTATGCCACAGAGTTGTGGGAATCGAAGGGGATAACACTCAAAGGGACTGGCTCCAGTGCATTGCTGCAAATGTTAGTTTGCCTTCCTGGTTGCTAATGGGAGAGGAAAACAAAGAAGTTAAAACGAGAGAACTTACATAGCCTGGGAATCCAGAAGGAAACCATTGCAGTAGGCATATTTTCCAAATTGTGTCACTGGACACTGAGCATACACTGAGTATATAGTTGCAAGAAATGGTGCCCTACTTCTCTGGGCCCTACCAGAATGCCTTCTGTGCCAGTGCAGTATTGCAGTAACTCTGTTCAGAATTTGTCCAGTTTGCAAATGAAAGTAAATTGCCTTGCTTTTTTTCCGTAATCTCGTAGATTTTTCAAATTTTCTTCAGAAATTTAGAGGACCCCTGAGTTAGCCAGACTGCATTCTTTGGATGCCAAGACTCAGGAAATCCCACGAGGTGGTTTTTCTCCTTTGATTTCACCCGTGTGTCACAAAACTAGCAACCCCTCAACTAGAAACAGAGTCTGTGACTAAATCAACACTTTTTTTTTTTTTAACCTCTTGGAAGAGATTTGGGAGGAATCTAAGTATCATTGTAAAATCCACAAAATCCTCAAACCCACTGAGCGAGCAACAGATGAGGGAAATTGTTCCACATCCTGTCAAGAGGAAACGAACAGGACTGGGAGGAAGAATGTGCTGCATGGTGCGATTCCTGATGCTGAACATCTGCCACAGTTTTGTGTGGAGCTACCATCTCAGGCAGACAGCGAGGACCCTGCGTTCAGGAGCCTCCAAGTGCAAACTGGAGCTGTGCCCCTTGGCGGCTGTGGGAACACGGACAGGAAGCAAGGGACCCTGGAAGAGACAGTGTAGGAGTACATCCTGTGGGGATAGATAAAAAGTAACGGCCAGGCTGTGGGAAACTCTTCCGAGCAAACATGTGAGCTCAAGAATTTCCAGAGCCAAAGATCTGACTTCAGTTATTTGTTGTATCTATTTGTTTTCCAAGAGATTCTGCATAATTCTGACAAAGCAAAAGAAGGTACAAATCTAAAACACGTATGATTGTGTTGTTTAAGCTTTTGCTCCCAGAGCATTCACGTGATACTGGCGCAGGAGTGCCAGCCTGAATTCAGATTTTGTCTCTAGGGACAGGGGGCCGCAGGCAGTGGCAAGAGGTGTACGTGAGGCCTCTGGTCAGCAGGCACTCCCTCAGGTCCAGGGGGCGCCTTTCCGACTGCATCAGCTACTCTGGGCCAGTGAAGAGGAGTTCTCTCAGAGTCACATAACCAGGAAGCAATTTATCATGATCAGGCTCCTTATCAGAGTCTGACATTCTTCTGAATTTCCAAGAAAACTGCTCCATAATTTTTACCAAGACTTATAATTCATCCATCTAATCTTGCACACTAGGATTTTAAGCAATAAAGTACATGTTGGGTAAAATTGTGTTTCCAGCACCTTTTAGAGGCAGAGACTTATTTTTTGATCCTTTTAAGATACTGGCTGAATGGATTTGCTCAGACACACCTTTTCAGCTGCTGTGAAACAGAATTAATTGAGTAAGGGGCTCCTGTACCTTTGCAGAAGCATCTTGCCCTCAGCAGGTGCACTGTCCAGCCCCCCACATGGGCCACACCGGCCACAGTCCCCGTGGTCAGCACTTCCCCTGAGTGTCTCCTCAATGCCCCTTTGGAACCTGTATCCAGCGTGTCAGGTCTCACTTTCAAACATGTGTCCTGTTACCTCAAAGTCTGCTTTACAGAGTGCTGGGCTCCGTGTTGCAACACAGTGACTTCTCATGTGTGCAAACTTCCACGGAGTGTGGAAAACACTCCACTGCATTGAGTTGAGTTAAACTGATTCCCTGTTTTCCACCTTGTCTTTCCCATCAAGCAGCCCTCCACCTCATGACCTTCTCCCTGAGGTCGCCTCTGTATCCAGCTCCTCAGGAGACCAACTGTCCGGGAGCCCTCCCACAAGGCCACAGCTGTGTCTCCAGTTCAGGCCCTGCCTCAGAGGCAGCACACTCAGTATGCTCTCTATTAATATAAGTTTTACTCCCATCTGATCTAAGTATTAAAATCGTTTTTATTTTTCCTTAAAGAAATGTTCCCTTCCTTTCACCTCTTCATTGTACCCTTCTCTCCAAGCCTTCTTTTCAGTGCCTTCACGCCCTGGAAGGACAAGATAGGGCCAGTCATGCCGGAAGATGCCCCCACGTGGACGGACCCACAAGCCAGCCCTTCGCCAGGGCACCAGGGCCCCTTTCAGTGTGGTCTTTCTCTCCACTCATCTCCAGAAAGTGCAGCCAGAATGTCTGTCCTGGCTCTGCTGCATCCGGCTCTTTGCTGTGTGTTTACAGATTTGCCTTCCACTGTGGGCTGTCGCAGGCTGCAGCAGTCCACCTGACAAGTCACCTCTCCCTTGGGTTTCACTGTGAACGTGGATATACACCTGCATGATGGTAAAGGAAAAGGGACAGAGCAGGAAGATGTTCCCACAAACACAAAGAATCACAAAGAAGAAGAATTAAAAATACCCCAGGAGTCAGGCTGAACATCTCGCAAAGCATCTCTGAGTTCCCAAAGCTGATGGAAATATTCTGAAGGTATTAATAGAATGCAGATGTTAAAGAATGCCACTTAGAATTCTGCTGAACAAATGACCCTATTGGGAGGTCGTTTCCAGTCTCCAGGGACATTCCACAGAGGGCCCAGCTGATTGTCTCATATTGAAACAACATGTCCAAGACACATTCCAGCTAGAAGAAAGCGGAACAGGGCTACTCTGACCAAACATAAATCATAAGGCAAAAGGGCAACTTCACTGCCTCGGTTCTCTGTCCCTCCTTCCCTGATTCACCCTCCCACCCCCTCACACCCCCTCCCACCCCCCAAGGAAAACAGAGAGTTGAGTAAGAGCCTGCCAAGCCAAGCGGACTCAGGCGCCAGCCAGCCGTCGGCCCAGCGCGGCACAGATGGCGGCCGTTTGGGAAGCTCACAGCTTTCCACGCTGTGGACCTGATGTTTTTACTTCACTGCAATTTGTTTCTGATCTTCAGTCAAATCCT